CGATTTCTCTCATCCAGCATCAGCACTCGCTCCTTCTGTCGAGCCACCTCCTCCCTGACCACTATCAGCTCCCCCCTCAATGCTGCCAATTCCCCTCTCACTAATCCAAACAACCCATGTACTGCCTCACTCATCACACTTGCCTCCCCCTCCTCTATAGCCATTGCAGCTTATTGTCAGCCTCCTCCCTCCCTCTGTGAAATGCCCAACGTTGATGGCACTCTGGCCTGGCGTGTCAAAATCATTTGAGGGTGAATGCATGGAGGAACACAAACAGTGACATACACACACGAAAAAGGAGGAGAGGGAGTGCCAGGCTACACAAAACGAGCTGAAGCGGGTGGCGGCGAGCCTGGTTCCACTCGCCAATTCTTCACGCATAGAGCACAACACATGGTGAGCACAGCACTTATGGAATGAGAGAGTCCAAGTGGTCGGGAGGGGCCATTGGTGGTAAGGAGAGTGGATGGGATTGTTATGGGGTGACCGGGAGGGAGGGTCTGAACTAGCTACTGTTCAGATATTGTAACACCTAAGACTATCTCGATCGTTGGTGGTCAGGTCAGAGGCTAGGCCAGTCAGAAGTAGGCACTCGCAGAATTAGGATCTCACAAGCTAGGCAACTCACAAGCTAGGTCAAATATAGGCTACGTTAGTTACAACCCTGGTCATTCATATGCTAGGTCACCTACAGCCCTGGTCACACACATGCTAGGTCGGTCACAACCCTGGTCACTGGCAGGCTAGTGCAGTATTGGCTAGGTAAGTCAAGATTGAAATCAGCTGAGGTTAGCCTACTCATGGGATATTTCGGTGAAAATATAAGTCAAGGCTCTCCCTCACAGGCAAGGTCAGTCAGAGCCGAAGCTAAGTCAAGTAAAATGCTATGAGCGCCGCAAATAACAGCAAGAAGTTGGGGGAGGCGCTATTACAGGCTAGCTCGGAAACAGCAGCCGTTGTGATTGGCCACAAGAAGCCAATACTACTTAATCAATCACACCATATGCTATGTATGTCAAGTCGCATACACGCAAGTACATTGTTGGCTGGGTCACAAATATGCTACGCTACATGATTGACGCAAGGAAAACCACACGCTATGTCACTCACACACTAGGTCAATCACACACTAGGTCACTCACACGCTAGGTCACTCACACGCTAGGTCACTCACACGCTAGGTCACTCACACACTAGGTCACTCACACACTAGGTCACTCACACGCTAGGTCACTCACACGCGAGGTCACTCACACGCTAGGTCACTCACACGCTAGGTCACTCACACGCTAGGTCACTCACACGCTAGGTCAGTCACACGCTAGGTCACTCACACGCTAGGTCACTCACACGCTAGGTCACTCACACGCTAGGTCACTCACACGCTAGGTCACTCACACGCTAGGTCACTCACACGCTATATCACTCACACGCTAGGTCACTCACACGCTAGGTCACTCACACGCTAGGTCACTCACACGCTAGGTCGCTCACTGGCCAGGTCACTCACTGACTACTTCAGTCAAAACCTAGGCCAATAAGAGGCGAGCTCCCCACGAGCTAGGTCAGACAGAGCCTATGTAAAATCATAGGCTATGTTGGTTACGGGCCAGGTTAACCACAAAGTAGGTCACTCTCAGACCAAGTTAGTTGGAGGCGACAACAGTTCTAAGGTAGATCAGTCACCGGCTAGGTCAATCACAAGCAAGGTCTCTTACAAGCAAGGTCAGTCGCTCACAAGCTAGGATGGTCACAGGATATGTCATTACGGGCTAGGGACACAGGCTAGGTTAGTCATAGGCTGGGTCACTCACAACATATTGGGTGGGTCGGTCACATGCAAAGGTTAGCCACAAGCCATGTTACATACAAGAAGCGATTCAAGTTCCATTTAATACTTGAGTCCACGAGTTGAGTCGAGTCGGTTCAAGCTATAATGGCCAAGGCTTAAGCTATAATGGCCAAGGCTTCGCCTCACTGAACTTGAGTCGGCAATGACTCGCGGAGTCAAGTTCAGTGAGGCTGACGAGATGCAGCTGACTCGCCGTTAGTTGAGTAGGTTGTCGTGACCCAATTCCTGCATTTTACCTTGCGTCAAGCAACATACGTTCAGAAACTGTTTCTACATAAAATAGTATTTGTCTAAGCGCTAAGCAATTTGACTTGAATCGTTCCTTAGCGCCAAGTGTTACACATTGTCTTGCAATTCGCTTTTGATCTTTCTTACCTTCGTGCTGCCAAGCAGTCCCATTTGGGTCGTTTCTATCTACCTTGGCACCGCCAGGAAATCCATTTCAGCTCTTGATTGAAACGGCGAATCTTTTTCTAGCGTTTCAAACATCAGCAAAATCAACTTACATCTGCATGAATACTGTGACTGAAAAGCCACATTACCAGGTCAAGTCCTTGACTCCCGGGGCCGACTTGGCCCTAAAATCCGCTAGTGGTGGCATTTGACTCAACTTAACTCAGGGTTTGACTCGTCTCCAGCTGAGAGTGAGCGGACTCAACTCGCCCTGTGCACATGTCTGCGAGCCACAGGCTAGGTTAGTCACAAATTATTTCAGTCACAATCTATGTCAAGTTAGGTCAGTCACGCCAAGATCTGTCACAGGCTGGATCACTCACCGCCTAGGTTGGTCACAAGCCAAGGTGGATCACAAGCTAGGTCCACCAGAGGCTGTGTAAGCTGCAGCGTGAGTGTCTGAACCAGGGCAAGGAAACACAGCACACTGAGAGCCTAGGTCAATCGGAGCCTAGGTCAATCCCAACCTAGGTCAATCAGAGCCTAGGTCAATCAGAGCCTAGGTCAATCCGAGCCTAGGCCAATCAGAGCCAAGGTCAATCCGAGCATAGGTCAACCCGATCCTAGGTCAATCAGAGCCTAGGTCAATCCGAGCCTAGGTCAATCCCAGCCTAGGTCAATCCCAGCCTAGGTCAATCCCAGCCTAGGTCAATCAGAGCCTAGTCAATCAGAGCCTAGGTCAATCCGAGCCTAACTCAGTAAGAGCCAAGGTCAATCCGAGCCTAGGCCATTCCGAGCCTAATTCGAGCCTAGGTCAATCCGAGCTGAAGTCAGTGACAGCATGATGAATGAGTCTAGCAATGTGGTTAGTCACAGCCTGAGTTGAGCTACAGGCTTGAACAGTCATTGCCTGGGTGAGTGACAGCGTGCATGAACCAGGGTGAGGAAACAGAGCACGGAAAAGGGCCGGGGCAACAATGCTACGAGGGGCAAGAATGCATCAAGGGGCTGGTCGAATACAGGTTAGGTCGGATGCAACCTATGGCACTCAAAATATAGGTTGATAACAAGCTAGGCCACTCACAGGCGAGGGCAGTGTATAGGATAGGTCAGTCCCCATTCAAGTCAGTACGACGCTAGGTTACTCACTGGCGAGGTCACTCATTGGCGTTATATTTACACAACATTGGCTACATATACCAGAGGTTACCCATAGGGTACGTTTATCACAGGAGAGAGTTACCCACAGAATAGGTTTATGACAAGATTAGCTTGACCACAGAGAAGATTTACCATTTACCACAGGATAGCTTGTGTAGAGGGCAGGTCCACCACAAGGCCACGTGTTAATCACAGAGCACGATTATTGCATTCACATAGTGTGAGAGAATGAGGATCATTGTTTGGTGGTACATAAGAACACAACCATGACAGTTCAATCACAAGCTAGGGAAATTGCAAGCGAGCACGAACTAGGTCACGAGCAGGCCTGTCAGTCACTGGCTACCTTAGTCGCATGCCGCTCACCTACTAACCATAAGAGGCTAGCTAGCTCAGACCGAAGAAGGAAGCTACACTTATGGGGCTGAGCATGTCAAAATCGGCCTTTAGTTGATCCTCCCAAAATTCTACAACATCCACAAGCTAGGTCAATCAGAAGCTACGTCAAAAAGCACTCACAGGATAGGTCAGACAAAACTTTAACCAGACAGTCAGAGGCTACGACACTCTCAAGCTACGACACTCACAAGCTACGACACTCACGGGCTAACAAAGGCTAGGACACTCACAGCCTAACATAGGCTAGGACACTCACAGCCTAGCACAGGCTAGGACACTCACAGCCTATCACAGGCTAGGACACTCACAGCCTAGCACAGGCTAGGACACTCACAGCCTATCACAGGCTAGGACACTCACAGCCTAGCACAGGCTAAGGCACTCACAGGCTAAGACACTCACACACAGGCAGGTCAAATCACACCATGTCACTGAAAATTCACATTACTAGGTATATTCAACCTTGACTCGACTCAAGTCGTCTCGCCCTGCGCACATGTCTAGGTCAGTCACAGACTAGAGCAGTCACAGTATAAGTCATACAAGTTTGGTCAGTCACGGCAAGGTGAGTCACATGCTGGGTCACTCACCGGCTACAAGCTGAGGTGGGTCACAAGGTACGCTGGCCAGAGCCTGGCTGAGTGGCAGCATGGGTTTCTAACCAGAAAGAGGAAACACAACACGGGAAGGGGCTAGGCAAAAAATGTGAGCCTAAGCCAAAGATTAAGTCAGTACGAGCCTTGGTCAATCAAAGCCTAGGTAGACATGAGCAACGAGCGAACCAAACACGTTTGACTCGAACAGTTGACGAACACTTGGTCAACTCGAACCGAACCGAACACGTTTGTCCCGAACAGTTTTCGTAAATGTTAGTGTTCCCCGTTCGAGTATAGTGTCGAACAGTTTTGAGGCATGGCCAAACACTAAGGTGTTTGGCACGAACTCGAACAGTTTGCCATGGGGGGTGGGGTACTTTCTATTATAATCACATTCAGTGCATGTAAGAAACTAAGGGCGTGTGTTCTACAAGCAAAATCAGAATGTAAATAAAGGTAGCAGCGAAAATCCGCAATGTCTCGCGCACATGGTCTAGTGAAATATGGATAAATAAGTCAACAGCTCAAAGATCAGGGCAACGTCAAGTCAAGGACATGCAAAACAAAGCCAGACAGCACCAAGTCCCCATGCAACTCCCTCACTGAACTCCAGTTCCTCCCCCCACAGCAACAGCCTCCTCCTCATCCCCCTCATCTAGCCCCTCTCCCTCCAGCACCAACTCTGGTGGTGCCTGCTCTCCGCTGCGGCCGGGTTCCTCACCAATACTCTTCCCAGGGTGTGACGTGTACCATGACCTGAGAGTCATGCTCGCGCTAACACGCTCAGTATTCAGCTTGTGCCTGTGCAAGGAGATGAGGTTCCTCCCCATGGAGAAAGCTCGCTCGCTAGCTGCAAAGGTGGCAGGGATAGCGAGGTAATCCCGTGCCATCTGCCTCAACGTGTCCATGTTCCTTGCACGCTGCCAGTACTGCAGCGCTGGCACGTCCGAGACAGGCAGCTCCGCTAAGTACCGATCCACCTCATCCCCCACCGACGTTCCCCCTCCCCCCGCTCTCGCCGCTGCGCTAGCTGAAACACGCTTCTGCAGCTGTGCCCTAGAGAACACAAACTCGTCGTCGTCGTCCTCGAACGGTGTCACCACTGCTGCTGCTGGTGCTGGTGGTGGGGTGGGAGCTTCACGTGCTGCTCGAGCTTGGTACTCCTCCACTCGGCGGCGCACCAAGCTCACCACCCTGTCCGCACTCATACGTGGCTTAAGCCGCCCACCGTCACGTGCCACTATGCCTGGATGCATCAGCTCCCAGTGTGTCATCCTGAAGTACTCGGCCTTCATGGACGGATCCAAGAAGGTCGCGATCCAGTACTCGTCCCCGATGGCAAACTCGTACTGCTTCAGGTGCCCCAGCGCGGCAGACATGAGTGGACGAACTAGTTCATGCGTCCCTGTGTGCAGCTTCTTCTCCAGGCTGTCGATGAGGGCGTAGAAGTAAGGCAGCACCATCGACACAGTGGGGTAGGTCGACCCCTCGGCGGCCGTGGAGACTCTGGCAAAGGGACGGAGAAACCCCTCCAAAGCCCCCAAGGCCTCCCACTCGACATCGGTCAAACGCAAACCTCGCCACTTCTCCTTCTCTTCCTTCGTGGTGCCCTATTGATTAGGTGAGGGCGCAAGATTGGGTTGGATGACATTGAGTACATGTGCTTAGGCTTGGGGAACGGTTGGAACGTAGTGGATTCTGACAATCTTCAAAGCAACAGCTCTTACGCGTCCAATCAACACAGATTGCAATGGATACGAATGGAGCTGTACCTGCTTGCGGGCAAAGTGCATGTCGATGAAGGGCCTCAGCAGCAAGAAGCGCTTAACCATCTCGTGTGTGGACCCCCACCGCGTAGGACTGTCCTGGACGAGCTTGTGCGGCCCATTGGGCAGCACTCCATGCCGAACCTGCAGCGCAATGAAGGCGGCTCCTCGCTGGGGCGACATGCCCACCCGCGTAGTAATCTCCCGCACCTTCTTCAGGGGCACTGTCATCGACTCCACACCCAGCCCAGACTGCACTGCCAAGTTCACAATGTGCGACAGGCACCTGCGTTGGATCGGAGGGGTTTAGGGTTTCAAACCGGCGAACATGGTTACAAGGGTGTTATGGTGCGGACAGAAGCAAAAGGGACCAGGTTTAGGAACTTGGAATCCAGCTACAAGACGGACCTGTAGTGCGCCTTCTCGCTGAAGTACCTCGAGAATTCACCCTCCTCCGCCAGGTGCCGAAGAGCAACTACGTTTGCAGACGCATTGTCGGTCGTGAGACCGAGGCAACGCGTCTGCAACTTCCACTGCACCACCACCTTCTCCACTGCCTTAGCAATTTCCTTCCCCCCATGCCTGCCAGGCATCTCGACGAAAGCAAGAATCACCTGGCGCAACTCCCACTGCACTGACACGAAGTGACCTGTCAGCACCATGTAGGCCTTGCCGTTCGGGCCTGTCCACATGTCGGTGCTGTACGACACGGCACAGGTTGTAGAGGCCAGCTCTGCAATCGCTGCCTCGAGCGCCAAGTCAGCAAGGACAACGGTGTCGCGCGCCACCGTCCAGCGTGATGGGATAACGCCCTTTTCCCCACACTTTTCGTTCAGCAGGATCAGCAGCTCCTTGAACTGGTGTTATATATACAAGCACGAGGAGGGGCGAATAAGGTGGACATCAATTCATGATGCCATGATGGCTGGCTGTACTGCAATGAAGTAGCACGTGCGGCCAGCAATCTCGATCCATCAAAGCACAACGAATAGGAGGGGGGGTGAACGCTTTCTCACCGCATCCACCTCGACGATGTGAAAGGGCAAGTCGCCGGTCACCACAAGCTTCGTGATCGCCGCACGAAGCATCAGCTTACTCAGCCTCGCTATAACAAAGCGCTCAATGCCGCCTGCCTCACCCTTCGCGCTCGGGGTCTGCACCACCGGCAAATTGGGCCACGAGGCCACGTGTGGCCAATTCACCACCTTCCTGTCGGGAACTCCATCGTAGCCACCCTCCGAGAAAGTCTCCCCCTTAGTCAGTAGGTGTGGTCTTAGGGACCTATACTGCCAAATGTCGTGGTGCACCATGTGCTTCGCAACCATGTGGCGCACCCCTGGAGTCGTAGTGCCCGTCGACCAACTGATACGGGTGTCGCACATCTTACACTTGCGCTTCTCATCCGCCCCCAATGGCCCGAACATCTGGACCTGCCAACCCAGGGCCTTCTTACACCCTTTCGTGGCCTTTAAAGGCCCATCATTCTCATCTACCGACACGGCCATACCATCCTCTCCCCCCCCCTCCTCCTGAACTTCTATGCCTTTACCCTTGCCCTTTTTCTTCCCGTTCCCCTTGCCTTTGGCCTTCCCCTTGGCATTCCCCTTGGCCTTCCCCTTGGCCTTCCCCTTGGCCTTGCTCTTAGCCTTCCCCGGCTAGGACACCTCCTCCTCCTCCTCCTCCTCCTCCTCCTCAGCCTCCTCACCACTACCCTCTCTCTCCCCCTCCTCCACCTCCTCCTCCTCCTCCTCCTCCTCCTCCTCCTCCTCCTCCTCCTCCTCCTCCTCCTCCTCCTCCTCCTCCTCACCCTTCTCCTCCTCCTCGTCGTCATCCCTCAACCCCGCGCAATCCCCATCTTTCTTCGGATCATAATCCTCCCTCCCCTTCCTCCGGGGCCTGCCCCCACCTGTGTTCCTTGTGTCGAGGGCCGGCAGCGCGCCGCTCCTCACTCCTCCTCGTTCCCTTCGACTGAGGCTCCTCTGCAGACTCTTCACATGGACATGTGGGGCCCAGCCCGCGTCCGTGGACAGGGTCACGAGCGTTACTTCCTGCTGGTCGTTGACGACTACTCGCGTTACACCACAGTCTTCCCCTTGCGTAGTGTCAGAATATGTTGTATTTGTCTAGCCTGCAGTGGGGTACTCAATAGTGAGTACAGCCCAATCTAGGGTTTCCTATATGTACTCAACTGCTTGCTAGTGAAAACCCCTCTTTCTCATTTCTAACTTTCAACTGCTGTTTTCAACATGGTATCAGAGCAGGTCAACCCTCACGGGTCGATCCTGTGGATGGGCCCACCCAATGCTTCCGCTGCTGCTGTCCTGTCTGTCGCGCGCCCCGTGGCGCGCGACGTCTTTTCTTCCCGCCACGCGCTCCGAGCGCGTGGCGGTTTTCTGCCCGCCGTGCGCCCCGAGGCGCGCGGCGGTTTGCTTTCGCACATTGCGCCCTGGGGGCCCGAGCGTCGCCCCCCCCCCATCCCGTGGCCCATCGAGGCGCCCTGGGGGGCCGCGCGTCGCCCCTCCCGTGGCCCGTTGCGGCGCCCTGGGGGGCCGCGCGTCGCCCCCCCTCGTCGCCCGTCCCAGCGCCCAGGGGCGCCGCGCGTCGCCCCCCCCGTCGCCCGTCGAGGCGCCCTAGGGGGGCCGCGCGTCGCCCCCCCCGTCGCCAGTCGAGGTGACCTGGGGGGCCGCGCGTCGCCCCCCCCCGACGCACGTTGAGGTGACCTGGGGGGCCATGCGCCCCCCCCCCCCCCCCCCCTCCCCCCCTTTTCCGTCGCCCGTCGCGGCGCCCTGGGGGGGGGGGCGCGGGCGACAGAAGGGGGCCGCGCGTTGGCCCCTCCCGTCTTCGTCGCGGCCCTGCCCGGCCCTGCCGTCCTGTCCCGGCCCTGCTTTGCCCGGCCCTACCGTCCTGCCCCAGCCCTGTCCCGGCCCTGCCCTGCCCGGCTCTGCCCTGCTGCCGCCCCTGCTGCGGCCCTACCCTGTGTTGGGGTTTGGGGGTGGCGAGTATGGGGGTGAAGGATGTGTGCGGTCTCCCCTGCTCCTCCTCCTCCTCCGTCTCCCACTGCTGCAGCTGCCGCTGAGGGGGGTGGGTGTGTGGGAGACGATGGAGTGGTACTAAGGGGGTGGCGTGTAAGCAGTGCTAGAGGTGCCGCAGGGGGTGTCTGAAAGGGGGGTGGGACAGTTTGGGGAGGTTGGACGGAGGTACCAGTCGTGTCGCCAGCAGCGCCAGTAGTCCGGAGGCTACAATCTCCGGTAGCCCAGCGAGCCTGCTGCGTCAGTCGCCCGTGGGTCCGTTGCTCCTGCCGCTCAGAGTTAGCTGCGGAGCCAGTTACTCCAGTAGTCCGGAGGCTACAATCTCCGGTAGCCACAGTGCGCGCCGCTCCTGTTGCCCGTGTGTCTGCAGCTTCACCCGTCTCCTCCTACCTCCTCTCCTCTCATAGTCCCTCCTCCTCCTCACTTGCCCTCTGTGATAGTTTCTAGCTTTGCTTATATTTGTGAACTATTGCTCCGCTTGTGAACTGGCCTTGTGGCCTTGTACTTGTGCTCAGAATGTGTGGTGACATTGTGATCCACCCTGAGCTTGTTTTTGCTTTGCTTGCTTGTGCTGATTACACCCCACTTTGGCTATGGGGGTGTGTCAGAATATGTTGTATTTGTCTAGCCTGCAGTGGGGTACTCAATAGTGAGTATAGCCCAATCTAGGGTTTCCTATATGTACTCAACTGCTTGCTAGTGAAAACCCCTCTTTCTCATTTCAAACTTTCAACTGCTGTTTTCAACACGCAGCAAGGGTGATGTCCCTGAGGTGTTGATCGACTGGATCCGCGGTGCTCGTCGCTAGCTCAGTGAGAGTTTCGGCTCGGACCTTCCTGTTTTGCGTCTGCACTCAGACAGAGGTGGGGAGTTTTCCTCCGACCTCCTGAGGGCCTTCTGTCGTTCAGAGGGCATCCACCAGACGTTCACGCTTCCGGCCTCCCCACAGCAAAATGGGATTGCTGAGCGCCGCATTGGCATGGTCATGGACGTCGCTCGTACGTCCATGATCCATGCGGCTGCTCCCCATTTTCTGTGGCTGTTCGCGGTTCAGTACGTTGTGCATCAGATCAACCTTCAGCCTCATGTCTCCTTGCCGGAGACCACGCCTACTCTGCGGTGGACGGGGAAGGTTGGCGATGCGTCCGCGTTCCGTGTCTGGGGATCTCGAGCTTTTGTCCGCGATACTTAAGCGGACAAGCTGTCCTCCCGTGCCGTTCCCTGTGTCTTCCTTGGCTTCCCTCCTGACGCACCCGGGTGGCAGTTCTACCACCCCACCTCGCGTCGTGTTCTGTCCTCTCAGGACGTCACGTTTGACGAGTCGGTGTGTTACTACCGTGTCTTTCCCTATCGCACTGCCTCTCTCCCCCCCCCGCCGCTCTTCCTAGCACCAGGTACTCCCCCGGTAGACCCCCTCCCCCCCCAGGGTCCTGCCCCCTCAGGTGTGTCCCAGGTAGACCCTGCTGAGCCGGTCGAGGTAGCTGTCGACTCAGGTGCTACTAGGGGTGCTGAGCCTGCGGGTGCGGGGACTGGGGGTGCCGAGCCTGGGGTTTCTGTGTCTGGGGGTGCTGCGTCTGGGGGTGCTGAGTCTGGGCGTGTGGAGCCTGAGGGTACTGCGTCTGGAGGTGCTGAGCCTTCGCGTGCTGAGTCTGGCGGTGCTCTCGGGGTCCCGTCACAGCGCGAGCCCCTCTCTCCACAGCAGCTTCGTGAGTGGTACTCTCGGCGCTGTCGAGGTGCGGCTGGTGCTGGAGGTGCTGCTAGGGCTGCTGGAGGTGGTGCTGGTGCTGGAGGTGCTGCTAGGGCTGCTGGTGGTGCTGCTGGTACTGCTGGAGCTACTGGCGGTGCTGCTGCTGCTGGAGCTGCTGGTGCTGCTGGAGGTGCTGGTACTGCTGGAGCTGCTAGAGGTGCTCCTGGTGCTGGAGGTGTTGCTGGTGCAGGAGCTACTGCTGGAGCTGCTGGAGGTGCTCGTACTGCTGGAGCTGCTGGAGGTGCTGCTGGTGCTGGAGGTGCTGCTAGGGCTGTTGGTGGTGCTGCAGGTGCTGGAGCTGCTGCTGGAGGTGCTGCTGGTGCTGGAGCTGCTGCTGGAGCTGCTGGAGGTGCTGGTGCTGCTGGAGCTGCTGGAGGTGCTGCTGGTGCTGGCGGTGCTGCTGGAGCTGCTGGCGGTGCTACTATTGCTGGAGGAGCTGCTGGTGCAGGAGCTCCTGGAGCTGCTGGAGGCGCTGCGCGGCCGCGGCCGTACTACGTTCCTCTACTTCAGCAGGTTCTTGGTTCCCCACCTTCTCCTGGTCCTCCTCCTCCTTTCCTGAGCCCACCGCCTGTCCAGTCCCAGTCGCAGTTACAGCCGGCCTCTCCACTGCCTGGTCCTTCTCCCTACTCTGGACCGACTAGAGGTCTTACGGAGCGTCGTGAGCCTGCGTCGTGTCCTGTTTCGCTTGAGTCTCGTTCTGCGTCGCCTGTCTGTACTGTTCGAGCTGGTCGTGTTTCGCGTCCGCGTCCTCCTCCAGTCCCTGGCACTCACTCTATGACTCTACGTCCTTCCACTGCTCCACAACGTGTCCCTCTGCCGTCTCCTCCTGCGTCCTCTCTTCATGTCGATCCGGACCCGGAGTCTGACTCCCTTCGTGCTGCTAGTCCGACGGTCACGCGCTTTCTGGCCACTGCTGTCACTGACCCTTTGTTTGAGTCCACTGCTGCGTCTGCTCTTGTTACTGAGCTCGTTGAGTTTGCTGCAGCCTGTCGCCTAGACTACGCCACTAGTCTTGTTGCTGAGTCTGCATCTGCGTCTATCTGTCCTCCGTCCGTCGGGGGTGAGTGTGCTCTTGGCACGGACGTCCTTGAGGACAGGCAGGAGGACTTTGAGTGCTTTGCCGCTGCTTCACCTCATCTCGTGTCCATGCTGCTTGCCCCTGAGGGAGACCCAGATGCACTAGATATCCCGACCCCGCGCTCTTACGCAGAGGCGATAGAGGGTCCCTACTCCTCTCAGTGGCAGGCAGCCATGGACGTCGAGATGGCTTCCTGGAAGTCCACAGGCACCTACGTAGACGAGTTTCCCCAACCTGGGGCGAACATCGTCAGTGGCATGTGGATCTTCAGGGTGAAGCGGCCGCCGGGTTCTCCGCCTGCCTTCAAGGTGCGTTACGTTGCACGTGGCTTCAGTCAGCGACAGGGAGTTGACTTCTTTCAGACCTTCTCCCCTACCCCAAAGATGACCACTCTTCGGGTACTGCTGCACGTTGCTGCTCAGCGTGACTACGAGCTCCACTCGCTTCACTTCAGCACAGCCTTCCTACAGGGCAGCCTGCACGAGGAGATCTGGCTGCGCCGCCTACCTGGCTTCACTGGGTTGTTTCCTGCTGGTACCCAGTGGAGCCTCCGCCGGCCAGTCTACGGTCTCTGCCAGGCACCTCGTGAGTGGCACGACACACTCAGGACGACTCTTGCTTCTCTTGGTTTTGCTCCTTCCACTGCTGACCCTTCTCTGTTTCTACGCACTGACACTACTCTGCCGCCGTTCTACGTTCTCGTGTACGTAAACGACCTCGTCTTTGCTACTGCTGACACTGAGGCACTCGCCCACGTGAAGTCGGAGCTGCAGAAGAGACACACGTGCACAGACCTGGGTGAGCTGACAAGCTATCTTGGCTTGCGGATCACCCGGGACAGAGCACAGCGCACCATTACCTTGACTCAGTCACACATGGTGCAGCAGGTCCTTCAGCGCTTCAGCTTCACGTACTCCTCGCCATAGTCCACTCCTCTGCCTACCGGTCACTCGCTCTCAGCTCCACCTTCGGACGAGTCCGTAGAGCCGAGTGGCCCGTATCCAGAGCTTGTGGGCTCCCTCATGTGCCTGATGACTTGCACACGACCTGACCTCGCCTACCCTCTCAGCCTTCTGGCTCGCTACGTGGCTCTCGGTAGGCACCGAAAGGTGCACTGGGATGCTGCGAAGAGGGTGTTGCAATACTTGTGCAGTACCTCGGGCATGGGGCTCATGCTTGGAGGACGGGCTCGAGTTGTCCTCACTGGTCACGCTGACGCCTCCTGGGTTGACGACTTGACTACGCAGCGGTCGTCACAGGGTTACACCTTCAGTCTTGGCTCCGGTTCTGTCTCTTGGCGGTCTACCCGCTCTTCTTCTGTTCTTGTGAGGCTGAGATCTACGCTGGGGCCATGGCTGCACAGGAGCTACGCTGGCTCACCTACCTGTTGACCGACTTGGGAGAGGCGCCTCGTTCTCCTCCAGTTCTGTACGTCGACAACAAGGCCATGCTGGCCTTGTGTCAGGAGCACAGACTGGAGCACAGAACGAAGCACATTGCTCTGCGCTACTTCCTTGCTCGAGAGTTGCAGCAGCGTGGCCAGCTTCGTCTTGCTTACGTGGCCTCTCAGGCCAACACTGCTGATGTTTTTACCAAGGCACTTCAGCCCTGTGATCATCAGCGTTTTTGTACTATGTTAGGCCTTGTACCTACTGTGCCTCACTTGCTTTCTTCTTGACTCTGCCTGTACTTTACTCTATATACATATACCTGCATGCTTATACTTGCTAGGTTGTGTTCACTGTATTGTTTGTTCTCCTTTATATAACTCTACATGTGAACTGGCCTTGTGGCCATTTGCTTGTGCTCAGACTGCGTGGTGACTTTGTGATCCACCCTGAGCTTGCTTTGCCTTTCTTGACTGGTCTTGTGACCTCTTGTTCTCCCCCACTTTGCCTATGGGGGTGTGTCAAACTTATATTCAATAGTCTGTTTAGGCTGTAGTGGGGTAGTCCTTATAGGGTACAACACTTTTAGGTTTGCTACTTGTACCCACCTGCTTTCTAGTTCAGTCATTCATTCGCTCACATTCTAACATACCTAGCCCGCGACAGGCCCGTACCTAGCCCGCGCCTGGCCACGTCTTACGCCTGCGCCCGGCCCCGTCTCTTGCCCGCGCCCGGCCCGTACCTAGCCCCGCGAACGGCCCAGTCCCTCGCCAGCGACCGGCCCGTTCCTAGCCCCGCGCCCGGCCCGTACCTAACCCGCGCCCGGCCCCGTCTGTCGCCAGCGCCTGGCCCCGTACCTAGCCCGCGCCCGGCCCGTATCACACCCGCGCCTGGCCCCGTACTTAGCCCGCGCCCCGGCCCCGTACCTAGCCCCGCGCCCGGCCCAGTACCTAGCCCGCGCCCGGCCCCGTTCCGCGCCCAGCGCCCGGCCCCGTACCTGCCCAGCGCGCGGCCCCGTACCTGCCCAGCGCGTGGCCCCGTACCTGCCCAGCGCCCGGCCCCGTACCTGCCCAGCGCCTGGCCCCGTACCTGCCCAGCGCCCGGCCCCGTTCCTGCCCAGTGCCCGGCCCCGTACCTGCCCAGCGCCCGGCCCCGTACCTGCCCAGCGCCCGGCCCCGTCCCTAGCCATGGCCCCGTCGCCCCTAGCCATGGCCCCTCGCGACCTGCCGCCCCTAACCGCGGCCCCTTGCAACATGGTGGGTGAGGGGGTGGCAAGAGGGGGTTCCTCCTGCCCGCGTGCCCTACAGTCGCACGCGCAGCTCCGCCCCCGCCCCCCTCCCCTCCCTCCATGGGGATGGTGGGGAGAGGGTGTGAGGGGGTGGCGGATGTGCCTCAGCAGCAGCAGCTGCCGCCACGCCTCCTCCTCTCTCTCTCCCTGCCGCACCTTATGTTGGGAGAGGGGGGGGAGCTTGGAGGTTCAGGGGGAGGCAGGAGGGGATCTGCAGCACCCGGCCCCCCCCCACCCTTCTCCTACCTCCCCCTGCTGCGGGTGCAGCAGAAGGGGGGAGGGGATCTGCAGCACCGACCCCCCCCCCCCCCCCCCTCATCCTTCTCCTACCTCCCCCTGCTGCGGGTGCAGCAGTGGGGGGGAGGGTATGGGGGTGGCGGGTGTGGCCAACCTGCTGTCGCCCGAGCGGCTCCTGCACCGCCCCTTCTCCTACCTCCCCCCTGCTGCGGGTGCAGCAGTGGGGGGGGAGGGGATTTGCGGCACCAGCCCCCCCCCCCCCCCTCTCCTACCTTTTCCTGCTGCGGGTGCAGCAGTGGGGGGGAGGGGATCTGCAGCACCAGCCCCCCCCCCGCCCCCCCCCCCTCCCCCTTCTCCTCCATCCCCTGCTGCAGGTGCAGCAGTGGGGGGAGGGTATGGGGGTGGCGGGTGTGGGTGCAACTGCGGGGTGGCAGGTATGGGGGTGGCGGGTGTGTGAACCGTCCCCTCCTCCTCCTCCACCTTCGTCTCCCACTGCTGCAGCTGCCGCTGAGGGGGGTGGGTGTGTGGGAGCCGAGGGAGTGGTGCTAGGGGGGTGAGGTGGCGTGGAAGGGGTGGCCGCTGTGAACCACTACAGCCCCACCCTCTGCCCTGCCTCTCCCCTCCCGCGGCTGCTGCTGTGGGGGGGAGGTGGCGGGGATGGGGGGTGGGGGAGAGGGGGCAGGCCGCCGTGTGAAGATCAGTGCAGGGACTATTGTGGGTGGGGCAGGGGCTGGAGGAAGGAAGGGGGGGAAGGGGGGTGAGATACAAGGGGGCAGCTGATAAGGGGGGTGAGATTAAGGGGGTGGTTGAATTGAGGGTGAGGACTTGGGGGGTTGTTAAGAGGGCCGGCCGGCAGTGAGCTGTCACGCTCATGCACGCTCCCCCACCTCCTCTCCTCATCCCTCACTCACCTCCCCCTTTGTAAAGGGGGTTAGTAAGAGGGATGGCCGGCAGTGAGCTGTCATGCTCATGCACGCTCCCCCACCTCCTCTCCTCATCTCTCTCACTCACCTCCTCCTTCGTTCTTATCTCCTCTCCCCTCCTCTCTCTCTCTCTCGCATCCTCCTCCTCACTTACCTCTCTGCCGTCTTCCACTGCACCGGGTGTACCCCTTCAAGGGGTGTTCTACACAGGTTTTCTCCTGCAGGCAGTTATGGGGGTGTGTCAGAAAATATAATTATATGTTCTGTTATATAACTGCCTGTAGGATTTACTGTAGTGTAGCTCCTATTGTTTGGTGGTGCACCTTTGTTCATTTTGCTATATGTACCTTGTGTGCTATAGTGAAACCACTCATTTCCATCATTCCTCTCGACACTCAACTCTCTCGACACTCACTAGCCATGGCTCCTAACTCACGCTAGCATTCTCACAGTCTCTCAGCACGACGTCTTAATCTGCGAAACCCTAGAAACCGGTAAGGCTGGTCATGGCATTCTCTGTTTGTTTGCACACCAGCTCCTTTCGCCAAAGATCCCTACTCTCCGTTTATATCATCCTCGTATGCCTCTTGCATTGTCTCCATTCCACATCCTCATGTCCGAATGTTATATTGCTTGCTCTGTGTAGGCTATAGTGGGGTAGCCCATAAGGGGTACAACCGAATTAGGGTTAGCACTTGTACCCAACTGTTTCATAGTTCATTCATTCTCGTTCATTCTTTTGACATGGTATCAGAGCGGTCTCAGGTTTGAATCCCGGTGTATGCACATGTAGGCCCTTACCGCTGTGCTTAGTCCTGGACCTCCCAGTGTGGGGGGGGTCCGTAGATCTGCACTGTGGATGCCCGATTGATCCTATGGGGGGTTACAGGCGCGTTCGCCTAGGGGGTTATGGGCGCACAAACCCGCTACACAAAAAAGCCCTTTTTTCCCAATGGTCTAGTGGTTGGGATTCTAACATGGTATCAGAGCACCCCCAGCTCCAGCACCTCCAGCTCCAGGGTGAACAGTCCCAATGTCTCTAGCTCCAGCTCCTCCAGCGCCAGCGCCACCAGCGCCAGTGCCTCCAGCTCCAGCTCCAACAGCTCCAGTGTCACCAGCTCCAGCTCCACCAGCTCCAGCGCCTCCAGGCTCCGCAGGGACTCCAGCTCCAATGCCTCCAGCTCCAGCGCCCCCACCACCACCAGACCGGGCAGCTCCAGTACCCCTGGTACGAGCACCTCCAGGACCAGCAGCTGCAGCACCTCCGGTACCACCAACTCCAGCAGTAACTCCAACACCTCCAGTGTCACCAGCGGCAGAGACTCCAGCTCCTGCAGCTCCACTCCGAAGAAGGGTGCGCTGGGCAAACCACTCGTGCAGCTGCTGCGGGGAGAGAGGCTCCGGCCGGGGAGACAATCGTGGCGAAGCACCCGCAGGACCTCCAGAAGAAGCAGTACCCCGAGGCTCAGCACCCCCAGACTCCGCACCCTCAGACTCAGCACTCCCAGGCTCCACACCCTCAAGCTCAGCACCCCCAGGCTCCGCACCCCCAGGCTCAGCACCCCCAGACCCGGCACACTCAGACACAGCACGCCTAGGCTCCACAACCCCAGACGCAGCACCCCCAGACGCAGCACCTGAGCCGACAGCTACCTCAACAGGCACAGTACCAGGAAGAGGGTCTACCTGAGACACACCTGAGGGAGCAGGACCCTGGGGCGGGAGGGGATCTACCGGAGGGGGACCTGGAGCAAGGAAGAGCGGCGGGGGTGGGAGGGGCAGAGTGGTAGGGGAAGAGACGGTAAAAGGGAACCGACTCGTCAAACGTGACGTCCTGAGAGGGGAAGACACGGCGCAAGGTGGGGTGGTAAAACTGCCAGACAGGCGCGTCCGGGGGAAAGCCAAGGAAGACGCAGGGATTAGTGAGGGCGGAGAGCTTGTCCGCGGACGTATCGCGAACAAAGGCACGAGAACCCTAGACCCGGAACACCGACGCATCGCCAACCTCCCCAACTGCCTGCTCCTTCTCCTTACACTGAGCTAACTAGAGGTCCTACAGAGCGTCATGAGCCTGAGTCTCGTCCTGCCTTGCATGTTCGCGCTGTTCGCGTTGGTCGTAGGGTTCCTCGTCCGCGTCCTCCTCCTGTCCCCGACACCCACACTATGGCACTTCGTCCTTCCTCTATTCCACTGCGATTTCCTCTGCCACCTCTTCCTGAGTCCTCTCCTCCTGCCGTCCCTGACCCTGAGTCTAACCATGCTCGTGCTGCCAGTCCCACTGTCTCTCGTCTCCTCACCACTATTGTCACTGACCCTTCTTTTGAGTCCACTGCTGCGTCTGCCCTTATTGCTGAGCTAGTTAACTTTGCTGCTGCCTGTCGTCTAGACTACGCCACTGCTCTTGTTGCAGAGTCTGAGTCTGCCAGTCCTCCATCCGTCAGGGGTGAGTGTGCTCTTGGCACGGACGTCCTTGAGGACAGGCAGGAGGACTTTGAGTGTCTTGTGGCTGCTGTACATCGTTTCGCTTCCATGCTGCTTGCCCCTGAGGGAGACCCGGATGCACCAGACATCCCGACCCCACGCTCTTACGCAGAGGCGATTATGGGTCCTTACTCCTCTCAGTGGCAGGCAGCCATGGATGCCGAGATGGCATCCTGGAAGTCCACAGGCACCTAAGTCGACGCAGGTCCCCCGTCTCGGGCGAACATAGTCGATGGCATGTGGATTTTCATGGTGAAGCGGCCGCCGGGTTCTCCGCCTGCCTTCAAAGCGCGTTACGCTGCTCGAGGCTTCAGACAGCAACAGGGGGTCGACTACCTTCAGACCTTCTCCCCCACCCCGAAGATGACTACTCTTCGGGTGTTGCTGCTCAGCGTGACTACGAGTTGCACTCTCTGGACTTCAGCACAGCTTTCTTGCAGGGCAGCTTGCACGAGGAGATCTGGCTGCGCTGCCCACCTGGCTTCACTGGGTCATTTCCCGCAGGTACCCAGTGGAGCTTCCGGCGGCCAGTCTACGGTCTCCGCCAGGCGCCTCGCGAGTGGCACGACACACTGAGGACTACACTTGCGGCTCTTGGGTTTACTCCTTCTACTGCTGACCCGTCGCTGTTTCTACACACCGACACGTCGGTGCCACCGTTCTACGTCCTCGTGTACATCGACGACCTGTCGGAACCTCATCACCTCCCTGCTGCTCTCTCTGTCTGACTCCTGTCGTTGCTTGTGTCTCATCCCTTATCTCCTGTCGGATTGGCTCGTTGGATCTCACCCCTTTGGCTCCCCCCCCTTTGACCAGGAACCTCTCTTGCCCTCGTCAGTCTTACCGATTATCCTCCTGGTGAGGCCTCTGCCTGCACACTCTCTTTCCCTCTCCCTCTTCGAATGGTTCTGCTTCTGATACTGAACTCACTCTTTGATAAGCCCTTGGCTCCTTCACATAACACACTCTGCGAATCGCTTTATTGCATCCTAGCTTGCAATATCTCCTTTTCCTCACTACTTGCTCGAGTAGGTGCAAGAATATCGTGTTCAAAGGAAACATACAAGCATTGAGGATAGCTACCACAAGGTACCTCCTATCTACCAGATCGGCCTCCGCCTCGCTTGTCCTGCCTACCCCTGCCTGTCCTCAGGAGCTAACGCAACCTTGGAACAGACTAGCAACCATCCTGCCAACTGCCTCTGATGCCCGCCTCTTGCTTCTTTCCCTCCAGCTGCCACTGTGCTGTTCCAGCTGGCTCCTTGGAGCACACCTGCACACATACGAAAGCAAACACACATGCATGCGAGCACCCATCCGAGTTGATGTGGTAACCTGCTGGCCCTGCCGCTGCCAAGCGCTGTAGTTTCAGCCCTTGCCCACCTCCTACTTACGTAAGTCCCGCCCTGTTCGCTTCCCATGCATTTCCCCAACTCTTCGCTTTGGCAGACATCATCCTCCCTCGCACCCACTTGTCTTCCTGCAAACCTCAAACCCCCACCTTGACCCTTCGCTTCCCATCCTCGGCACTGCCCTTCCTCACTATGTACAGTATATACAATTTATACACCTCCCAATCTCTCCTCGCTATCCCGCTCACATTCACATAAATGTGACAGCTGTCGGAACCTCATCACCTCCCTGCTGCTCTCTCTGTCTGACTCCTGTCGTTGCTTGTGTCTCATCCCTTATCTCCTGTCGGATTGGCTCGTTGGATCTCACCCCTTTGGCTCCCCCCCCTTTGACCAGGAACCTCTCTTGCCCTCGTCAGTCTTACCGATTATCCTCCTGGTGAGGCCTCTGCCTGCACACTCTCTTTCCCTCTCCCTCTTCGAATGGTTCTGCTTCTGATACTGAACTCACTCTTGCCCCCTCCCAAGACCAGCTGCCGTCGTCCTCGCCCTGGTCATGGGACCAGAGTACTGCTGCACGCCCTTCGCTTTCCCGGCCAAGGCCACATTAGTCACGTGGTCCATCACCCGCTTCCCATTCTCTCCCTCTAGCACCAGTACCCCTGAGTCTCGCACCTCCTTCACTGTCCACCTTTGCTGCGACACTCCCAGGTCCAGCCCATCCCGCTTTGCTCGCCTGACATACACTTCTCCTCCCTCCTCCACAGCCGGGTCTCGGCCTTGCATCCTTGCCAGCTGCCGCTGCTTGTAGCAGTGAATGTCTCGCAGCTGCGCCACCTTCAAGCTCTCCAGTGCGGCAGGCAGCATCTTCCTGAGGTACACCGCCCGCGCATCTGCCAGCGCCACCCACTTCTCTGCTGTTCCTGCCGACACGCTGTCCGTGAGCACTTTGGGAGCTCCCACCGGCAGAATTGGATGCTTCCCAAAGAGCAAATAGTAGGGAGAGACATCCTTGAGCGCTGCT